TTTAAAGGTACACTGCGTAATTTCTAAAGTGGAGGGTCTGCTATTTGCTTGTCGCCATGGAGATGCTGTTTAGTTGCCCGGAATGTCCCACAGCAGAGCATTAAACGTACAGTATCTCCATTGTATTTGCTCAATTGCAGGTGTTTTATAGCTCAAAAATACCTAAAAAAAAAAAAATTAAAAAAACACAAATTCTACCACGTGCAGGCTTGCTTCTCCGCAGATCTGACCACTAACCTGTCTCCGTTGTGACAGGTGAAAACTCCACCAGAAAAGTTACACAGTGCGTCTTTAAGTACTGAAAGAGACTGAAAACACCGCAGTCATGAAGCAAAAATAAGACAAAACTGATCCAAATGTGAGACGTAGCTGTTATTTTTCCTCACGTCAACACAGAAAAACCTTGTGTAAATAAAAGTTTAAATATTCTGGGACTATTTGGCGACTCTTGCAGTGTTACCAAGTTATTCCGCACTTAACTAACGCATTCAGAACATCCAAATTACTCACAACGATGAGTTTATAAGAGCTTTTCCATCACTGTAATACTAACAAGAATTAAAAAATCAGGTTCAGAGCCTTTAATCAAATGTTTGTAAGCAGCTTTCTATATTTATCTTGATTCGTAACATTTTCTTTCTTTTTGTCCACAGGAGCTGGGTCGGTCTGCTGGGATGTGCGACTTTTTCTTCTCTAATCGCAGGTTGGTAGTTAAATCCCTTCTTCCTTCTACGTTTTCAAACATACATGCTGTTGCTGTGCCCTTAAGCAAGACACCAAACACACCAATTAGTTAACGAGTTTGTCAGTGAGTTTGTAATTTGGTGGTCGGCACAGATTTGCGGCTACGTCTTTGCAAGTCTTGGTTAAAGGGAGGATGAAACCTGTCACAATAACGACTCTACTGACTTAACGTTCAATATATAAGAAAAGAAAATATTGCTCAATATTTAGCTTCTGTTCAATTTCTTTGCATTAATACTGAGAATTTGGTTAAAATAGTTGTAATCTGATCACATTTGAGTTGTAGAATAAGTAATTTCTTTGTCTAAATATTGGTTTATTCTATTTATTTACAGCAGCTCAGGCCTTTTAATTATTAATATCTATTTAAAAATGGTTTACTAGAGTTATTTTGCATTATTGTTAGTGTATCAAGTAGTTTAAATATTAGTATTTATTGCAATATTTCTGTCTTGCTTTGAAATTTGGTATCGTGACAGGCCTCGGGATGAGCTGATATGTTTGGCGATACCCGTTTTGAGCTTTAAAAATCCATAGCAAAGGTCCACAAAAGAACTAATATTTGAGCTGTAGAAGATCTAAATGAACTGTTCACTTTTGTCAAAATAAAAGCTCGTCTACTTCCATTTTTATTTTACTTAGACTTGTATATTAATGACCAATACTATAACTAATATATTGCCTCTCTCCAATTGGTTTATTGTACTTTTCAAATTGTCATCGTGGCCTAAGAAAAATTAGCTGATACTGATATTCGATATTTGCCGATACCAATTTTTAGCTTTTAAAATCCCTCCCCAGGCCCACAAATGTAACTAATGTCACTTTTGTAAAAAATATAATGGTTAAAACCCTATTCCATTTTTCCTCAGTTTGTTCAAAAAGACAAATCTGGGCACTTAAAATATCAATATCGGCCGATACTGTAACCGATACATCGCAGATCCCCGTTGGTTTATTATAGATTTATAAAAATGAAACGTCAAATTAACAAACCACTCAACAGAAATGTCCCTTGATAATTAGATAGACCATAATTAAACTTATTTACTATATTCACTTGCCTTTTCGTACATTCGTGGTGTTATTGGACTCACAGGGTTTTGTAAATATATAGTTTGTTCGCAGTGACGAGGTGTAGCCCTGTTAAGCCTGTTTTTGTTTTTATTTTTTAGCCTGGGAGCAACCGACGTGAGCAAGTGGTCATTCCAAGATGCCCGACCGCCACCCAAACCAAGGTAAGATTCAGCTCCTGTTACGCGCTCCGATCAGCCACAACATTACGACCACCGACAAGAAACACAGGCCTTACTGTTCTGTGTATTTTATTTGGAATAGTGGGGAGATATTTGTGATTTTTATGTGATAACGTAATATTGGATTTGCAGAGATTAGAATAAATACCTTCTAAAGCGAATTTATCTGTGTTCTTTTAATGATACAGTAGATTTAATCCATTTCAATGTTATCTTTTATAGTGATATTTCTCCATAGTGACAGGCCGACTAACAAACAAGTTAGTTTCAAGCCCAATTCAAAGTTGTGAACGCGAAAAACTAGACTAAAATCCTGATACGTTTTAATTTTCATCTAAAGTTCATCTACATTCTCCCATTGGCGTCATGTTTTGGCTGATTGGTGTTTTTTTTTTAAGTCTCTGTGCACAATTTACTTCTGCTTACTCATAGTTCTCGTTCACATTTTTGCCTCCGTTTTCATATTCCTGTTGCGTTTTGTAAAGTTGTGCTAAACTAAAAACATGTTTAAGGATTAAGTGTCAAACAGTGAGTTACAGATGTTTAATATTTGTCTCAAAGCTTATGCTAAACCTAATAATATCATTTAAATTATTAGTTTTATCTGCAGCTTGGTCCAGTTTGTGTTAGTGCTGCAAAGATTGAAATTACTAGTTGAAAAGTAAAGTGTTTGTACATATAGAAGTCATTTTTGATCTTTTCTTGCGGTAAAATTATTTAAACTGCATTACTATTGATACAAATCTGAAATTGTAAATACTTTTTGAAGCAATAATGCAGCCATCCTTTACCAAAAGGCTTTAGAGTCTGTATAGAACTTTTTCACAAAGGCTGGAAGTGTCTCCCTGTAAATTTGTAGAACTTCCAGTTAATGGTTTTGGCGAAATGTCTGTGGAAATGTCTGACCTACTGTCCAGCAGCTTCATAAATCTTCCACATCACCAAATCTTCAACCAACAAGGTCGACAAAGTATAAACATTCTAACAACGAAAGACGAAAAAAGGCGAACGACGACGAGCATCAATGAACTTCTGAGCAAAACTAACGTTATGGTCCCAGAGATGTCCAATATTCAAACTGCACAAATCTATCTGTGCCAAGATCGACATCATGAAATCGATTTTTAATTTTAATTGTATAATCAGGGCCTGTTTACACGAGAACGCTTGTGGGTAAAAGCGATAAAATACTTTATCGGAAGTGCCTTTCGTTTAGACGGTGACTGCGTTTTTGGGTCGCCAGGCTGGTGCCACCTAGTGCCTCCGCTCAATTTCATTTCTCTCCCGCGACTAGGTCAGGAATCAAAATACATTAGACGGTTCGCAAAAACCCCGGAAGAGCGAGTTCAGGCACCAGCCAATCAGCGAAGAGTCATATATTCTGTTTTGTCAACGATTCCCAAGATTTAACCTAGAAAAAAAGAATGTTCAGTGAATTTTATTAAGGAGAAAGATGTTATTGTCCTCCTTCCTATGGGATTTGGGAAAAGCTTAATATACCAGTTAGCCCCGTTAGTGGCGCATTACATATGTCACGATCAAATAGCAGAGATAAAAGATAATAAAAAGAACCCGCCTACCGTCGAGCGAACAAATCCTAATGCTGCGAGGTCAGACGGTTTCTACTAAGTGAAATTGGCTGATGAATGAGGTTAGTTTTTGGGGGTTAAAAACGCAAAATTCTGAAACCACCCTCCAGAGTGAAAAAGTTGAATATGCTTCGTCATAGTGTTTCCGTCTACACTGCCCAAGACGCAAAAGTCTGGTCAGATAAGCTCCACACACTTTTGCGTCACCGTATGTGCGCCGATTTCCTCCCGAAAGCGAAGATGCGACGCCACGTTTGCCTCTTCTCATCAGACCGTCATCATATAAACACAGCGTCAGTCTGAGTGAACAAATTACTTATGTTTTGTTCATGATCATATCGTTAGTTTTGCTCAGTCATTCACAAATGCGTCGTCGTCGTTTCCTTTAAGTTTTCGTCTTTCTTACCTTGATAGTTGTGGATAAATTCTTCATGTTAGAATGTTTATACTTTGTGGACCTTGTTGGTTGAAGATTTGGAGATGGGGCAGATTTATGAAGCTGGTGGAGCGTAGGCCAGACACTTCCAGACACTTCGCCGTAGAAAACCAATAACCGGAAGTTCTATAAATCTACAGCGGGACACTTCTGACAGTTGTGAAAAAGCTCTATTGCCCTATAATAACTGTTGCAGCCCCAGTTTATAGCATTTATTAAACTGTACTTCAGCATTACCTTTGAGACAAAACCACCTACAGTAGTGCACCATTTTATTTTGACCCTTAGTCTTAATTTTATCACAACGCTGCAAAAACCCAATGGGTAATGGGGCAAAAGTGTGGATGTGAAGTGTTATTGAGCGGAACTAGCCTCCACATCACCCGCGTGACATCATTGATCCAGTGTGATGTGCGATGAACAGTGTTTATGTAGAAGTCAACACAATTTCTGTTGCATTATGGGTAAGACATTTAGTGAAAACCTATTTTATTTTCGTAATCTACTTGTATGCATTTTCACAAAAACAATAGAGTCCCCTCGTATCCATCTTCACTGTAGAAGTTCTCTGAGCAAATCTCCGTCAGTTACAAAAATAGACTTTTTTCATAAAATAACACAATAATTAGATTTTCAGTGATATAATCTTCTGTTAAGGTAAATAGCAAGGCTGTTTTTTCAAAGGAAACGTGACAAAGTGAAGCCTAGCACCTGTAGTCCTTTTCCAACATCAGTCATGAATGGACTCTTTTTGTTTTGCATATTCCAGTTTAAGTCCGTCCTGGAAATGGAGGAGGAAGCGGCCGCAGAAGAAGAAGGTCCCAAAGTCCAGAGGCGGCTCCCAGCGTCCACATGGAGAAGGTAACATCTGCTCGTCTCTCAGGCTTCACTTCACCCAAAACGATCCAAAATATGAGAGAACACAGATGCTACAAAGAATTACAAAAGGATATGTACAAACCCTGTTTTCCTGTTCGGGCGATGTTGGCTTGTGTTTGAGTGTTCGTACCGGCGCCCCCCGCAGGAGCGTTAGCAGCGTTGTCGGCGCAGTCCTGTGTCACCAGATCACAGAGGAGATGCTGGTTTCCCGGGGCAGCAGGGGGAGCATGGCGTTGTTGCCGGCGTGGCTCTCCTCCATGCTCTGTTGCCGTGGCGACCGGCCCTGCGGTCTCTGGCCGTTGAGCAGCGTCATGGGGATGTTGCAGTAGGTGTGCTGGTTTCCGAGCGCGGCGGACAGCGGCGGGAGGGTGCCCCCCGGAGGCAGGTCGTAGTCGTATCCGCGGTAATAGTGCTTCTGCCTCAGCTGAGTGTGACAGGTGCCGAAGGAGGAGCGCAGGTCCGGGTGCGCCGTGGCCATCGCCGTGGAGGTTGCCATGGAGATGGCGGAGACAGTCTGCAGCTCGCCGAAGGGGCCCTGCTCGCTGACGTCCAGCACCTGCTCGTGGGAGATGGTGAGAGGACCCTCCAGGCGCTTAAAGGGCATCTCAAACAGAAGCTGCTTCCAGAACTTGGAGCTGAGTTTGTTGCTCTTGGGGCCGTGCCACTTGATGACGGTGAGCAGTTTGATGGTGTGTTTGAGCGCCTCCACCTCCTGGTAGTTCATAATCCCTCGCAGCTCCGCGCACTCGATCAGGATCACCTTTATCTCTCCTGTCACCAGCATGTTCCTCAGGCGCGTCTCCAGCTCAAAGATGCTCCACCCCCTCCGCACCACGTAACTGGGTGTCATGACGATGATCAGACGCTTGCTCTGGTCCACGCAGCGCGCCACGTCCTCGATGTACGCTGCAAAAAACAAACACATGTGAGAAACTTAAAACTACACACGCACTGAGCTCAAAACACAGCCTGGCATGTCCAATACTCGCAGGAAATTTGAGCTATAGCACAACATTTCACTTGTGATCTTGTGTTAAAGTTGTAAAATGTTGTGTTACAGTTCAAAAGAGAATGCTGTATTGATCTCGCAGTGCCTTAATTGTCCAGGTCTCTTCAGTAAAACCAGTGATGTAAGCGAGAAACAAACATTGCTTCAGCCTTTTGAAGATTCTCACTTTAAACTCGAAGCAAAGAAGAACCATCGCTGCTCTGTAATCAGCGTTTACCACCAGCATTTCCAATTAATTTAACAGAAAGTCATTAACCACGGTGGATTTTAAATGGACTAATGCAGGGGGCGATTTACAGAAGCCTAAAGGAGAATTATGATTAAACACATTAAATTAGTGATGTAATATAAAAAAGAGACTGGAGACACCTGGACAATGAAAACTTCACATTTAAGTCAACTCCTGATCAAATCTTCACTTGTATTTTAAACTGATTATACCTGGTGATTCACAAATAAAGTAAAATAAAACAAGTGCATTGTGAATTTCTTACAGCCTCGACTAAAACTAATTACAACTTAACTGCTGCTTTACTACAACACAATTATAACTGCTGTAATTCATTCAACAAATTAACAATACTACCTCTATTAATTACTACTAGAACCAAATGGAGTGCCAACATCTGAACTACTACCACACAATCTCCACAACTGATACAAATTACTGCAACAATACCACTACTATTATACATAAATACAATCAATTACTTTTAGAACTAAAAGCAGCCACTCAACTACAACAGTTAAATACGTCTCGTAACTTTAAAAAGGTCAATAATCTGCTTTTACAGCCCTCGTTTGTGGAACAATCGACCTGAGGATCAAAACTTTTCAATTTAGCTTTTAATTGACACTTTTACTTGTTTTAAATTAAATTATCATTACTGTTTTACTTAGTCTCCATCTAATTTTAGCTCTCCATTTTTTATTTTAACCTTTAGGAGCTTTATGTTTAAATTGTTGTATATAAGTATTGTAGTAAAGTTTGTTTGCTTGATTGACTAATTTCTCCTATACTGTAACTACTAGTACTATATATACTACAGCTACTACCGTGACAAAAACTATGATTACTACTTCAGTCGAGACGGTCTGTGGGCGACTACTACGGCAAATGATCCAAGTTACTCCCTACAACAATGCTTTTATATTCAATAACTATTAGAACTACTACTACTACTACTAACTACTAGACCTACATATAAATACAAGTACTACTAAAACTACGATAAGAACGATTACTACTAAAAATACTGCAGCAACTTAAAAATGAAACAGACAGTGGCTACAATACTGTAACTACAACAAAATCACTATTATAACTGCTACTTTAACTACTAATTACTACAATAATACTACTACTATTATAGCCAGTACAACTACTATCACAAATACTACTTTCATATAAATACAAACACTACTAAAACTATTCCAAGTATCATTGCTACAACCGAAAATACTCATAACACAACTCCTGAAACAGTCATTAAGGGCAACTATACTTAAATATTTCTATAACAGACCGACTACTAGACATATATATAAATACAAGTACTACCAAGACTACTACAAACTACTATTAGAACTATTAAACTAAAATGCAGTCAATAATTACAGCGACTACACCAAAATATGCTGTATTCATGACATCAGCTATTACAATTACAACTACAACAAGTACAAATACTACTATAAATACTACTACAGAAACTACTAATTAAACCAGATATTATCCTACCATAACAATGATTTTATTCTTCCTAAAGGCACCAAAAAATGTGCAGAATCTGGGAATTATCTGAGAGCAAGTGCACTTTGTATCTTGTGGGCTACAGTATTATGGTTATATGGATTAAAAATGGCAAATATTACGAGCTCGAGTTGACATGGTTCACAAAAAAACACAGTTGTTGTAGAAGTTATGATAAAAATATTTGTAATTTCACAGTTTCTTGTTATATTATAAAGCCACAAATGTATTTAAAGCTGTTATAAATACCAAAACCACTACAATGTCAGAAAAATATTGGTATAATTTGACTGTTTTCTTGTCCAGGGTCTGATAAAACAAAGTCTGACCACTATAAAAACTATAAAAATCCAAGTTTATCTGTGTTATTTTACTTGTGTGGCCTTGAAAAGACTTTTTACATGTTTTAATTTAAGAATGCAAACACGACCTTACGAACAGATGCACATTTGACACTGAGATGTCTTTAAAAGCTTTCTCCTCCAAGTCTAACGTGGGCCAAAGGTCAAACACGCAGCATTTATTCCTTCATGTTCCTTCATATTTTACGTTCCAGTTTTGACAAGTGAACTGCAGCCCTGCCTCCAGCTCATAACTCTGATTAAACTGAAGATTTTAAACACCACTTTGCATTTGCTCACATAGAATTGAGATCGTTTTTCTAACCACTGACCTAAAGTTGAACTGGACATTTGCTTTTTACAGACTTTGGCAAAGTTTTATAGTAATATTTTAAGTGCATACGACAGGTTTTCATGTTTATCTACTTATTACTTTTGGTGGTTGTACCTGTGATCGATATTTACCATCGTTTTACATCAGTTAAGTGCAGGAAAAAAAATTCAATGTATAAAAATACAGGAAGTACCCAAAATGTAGGGACTATTTACAGGAAAGGAAAGCACTTTTCTCAGTCTTTAAATGATAATTTAACTAAATAAAAGTGAAATAAAACCATCAAACTTCACAAATTAAACAAGATCTTCTGTAAATTCTAAATATAAAGATGAACTGAATCCGTGTATCATTTGTTCATTTGTTTTTCAAAATAAAACCAATAATAAGAAAACGAAAAAACAACTTTTTACTTCATTATTTGTCTCCAAAACCAAAATTTAAAAACGGACAACGATTCGTTTTTTTCAGTTTTCAATTTTGTTTTTAAATGAATAATGGAAAAAAAAACACGGATAATGACCGTTTCCCAGGACTGAACCAGGTCCAGGACCAGACCGGGACTGAGGCCAGGATTTAAACCGGGACCAGACCAGGACTGAAAACAGTTTAGTCCTGATTCAGTCCATATGCATCACAGTTTAAGTCACGGAAAAGCCGTTTCCCGTTTCTGTGACTTAAACCAGGACTAAACCATTTTCAGTCCTGGTCTGGTCCCTGTCTCTGTCTCTGTCCCGGTCTCAGTCCTGGTCTGGTTCTGGTCTGGTCCCGGACCTGGTTTAGTCCTGGTTCAGTCCGTATGTGGCGCAAAAGTCCAGCATTGCAGTTTAAGTCACGTAAACAGGAAAATGTACGTTATCCTGTTTTTTTCATTTTGGTTTTGGAGACAAATAATGAAGAAAATAGCTGTTTTTTTCGTTTTCTTATTTTTGGTTTTATTTTGAAAAACAAATGAACGAATGACACACGGATTGAACTGTTTTAATGAAACGATTGTCAACCTGTCATATGCACTTTAAGAATGAAAAAGTGTGGATTTTCTTGATTTCTAAATTGTCCCAAGGAATAAATAAACATGAGTTGGAGTTTGAAACGCATCAAAAATCTGGGAGTAGTAGAAGTACCTCTAAGTAGCCTGGTGTCATCCTGGAAATGATCATTGGTGAAACCTAAACAGAATATTTCACACATTTAAAAACCGGGTCAAAAGTCAAAAAGTTTCAGCGGGACTCGACTCTGGAAGAAACTGGATTCTGGAAATTTTTAGACCAGTTTATTCCAGTTGAATATGGGATCTGGAGCATAAAAAGTCAAGGGAGACGTCTAAAAACATTGTTAAAATGTTGTTTTCTCATCACAAACAGACCTGGAGTTGTGTTTTGTTTCAGTCACACATGTTTAACACGGTTTCTTCTCTCAAACTGAAAACGCTCAGCTCCACCTTGTGATGTCATGTGGTGATACAGCATAGGAACAGATTGCACCATTGTTCCGACAGAGCGGCCGCCATGTTGGGACTGTACACTTCTCCTGACTCAATCCAATTAGAGCTCAACCAAAAAAAGACGTGTTTCACTTTTCTGTTGATTTTACATTTTGTATCAACAGCCGCTGTGTTTATCTGGAGTTAGTTTGGATTTTTCATGTTAAATTGTGTTTCTATAGCGACAAATTTCACCGTATTGAACACATAAATCCGCTGTAGTGCGCCCTCAAGTGGCCACAGATGTTTACTACACTTAACTGTTAATATACCCATAACCAAATAATTTATGAAGAGTTTCCTGTCACTTTTGTTTTGTTAGTTGAAATGATTATTATATAAACATTCAATAATCTTAACTGGGCTTTAACACATTTACTGGCTGCTACTTCAGCTAAAATAACATTTGGCGCAGTAAATTAGTGGAAGAAAGTAAATTTTATCAGGAAGAAAGACGTTATTGTCCTTCTTCCTACGGGATTTGGCACAGTCCATACGTCACGACCAAGTAGCAGCGACTGGTTAAATAAAAAAAAGTACCCGCCTACTGTTGAGCGAACGAATCCTAATGCTGTGAGGTCAGACAGTTTCCACGAACTTGCTGTTTTGTTGTGTAAATGACCAAATAAAGAAAGTAAAATCTGTCTTTGTGTCTGTCTGCGTTTTATGGTAATACAGGAAGTGCTCCACTGTGTTTTTAAATCTCCATACACATTAGCCTAGTGCCTCTGCTCAATTAAATTTCTCTCCAGTGACTAGGTCAGGAATCAGAATACACTAGACGGTTCGCAAAAACCCCAGAACTGCGAGTTTGGGCACCAGCCAATCAGCGAAGAGTCATACATTCTGTGTTCGCAACGATTCTGGAGATCAAGGATTTAAAGCCGGAATAAAGAGAATGTTTGGTGAATTTTATCAGGAAGAAAGACGTTATTGTCCTTCTTCCTACGGGATTTGGCAGAGTCCATACGTCACGACCAAGTAGCAGCGACTGGTTAAATAAAAAAAAGTACCCGCCTACTGTCGAGCGAACGAATCCTAATGCTGTGAGGTCAGACAGTTTCCACGAAGTGAAACCGGTCTGATGAAACTGGCTACATACACATCGCACTGAACGTAACTGTAGCTGTTAACTTGAAAACTACCACCACATGTAGCAGGTGACCAGATTTTCAAAATAAAAAACATGGACACCCCCCAGTTTGTGGTGGTTGGTAATAATAAAACTGTGAAACGAGAGTGTAATTAAGAAAAACTGTTCTGCACTCGTCCCATTCGTAACTAACATGAGTCAGGCTACGTTTATATGACGATGGTCTGAACAGAAGACGCAAAAGTGGCATCGCGTCTTCACTTTTTATTCCGCGTTTAGACGAGTGTGTTCGGGAGGAAATCTGCGTGCATACACATGACACATGACGCAAAAGTGTATGGAATTCGATTGAGTATGCATGCCAGGCGGCTCGGTGGTGATGTACATGACGTAAACGTGTACACGACCTGAGCAGATCTGACCAGAGTTTTGCGTCTTGGGCAGTGTAGACGGAAACGCTACAGTAGAGTGTATTCATCTTTTCCACTCTGGAGGGTGGTTTCAGATTTTTGCGTTTTTAAGCCCCAAAAACGCCGTCACCGTCTAAACGAAAGGCACTTCTGATAAAATATTTTGTCGCTTTTACCCGCAAGCGTTCTCGTGTAAACAGGCCCTCAGTAAAGTCACATTTTCTTTGTGTTTTGGTCATTTTTAAGCAGCTTTTCTGTATTTTATCTTGACAAATGACACTTTATGCCTCTTTTTTACTGTTGGCAGGGATCAGATTAGTCAAAAATAAGAACACGAGGAATATTTCTTGTAAATAAAACTGGGACAAATCAGTGGTTTTGGATAAATCTGCACCAAACTGAGACTGTCCTGGGTAAATACGGACGTCTGTACCCTAACCACATGACATCACAAGGTGGAACGGCCCATTTCGAGCTTCGGAGATGTAGACAGACTAATAATAAAGGATTTCTCGAACGTGTGAATGAAACAAAAACAACTCCATGACCTTTAAACTTTGAGTGTTGATGAGAATAATATTGTCCTTAATGCTCGGCGCTCTCGTCTGTATCTGGGGATTAAGTTTCATTAAAATAGCACTTCAGATTCTAATGCAATCCCCGACGGGAGCTGGCTAATATTTACGCATATAGAACATAAATAAGACAAAGTCGCTGGTTTAGCATTAACATATTACTACATTAACATATACACTTCTGTTTTTTCTCCCAGTCCTTGACTTTTTACGCCATTTTCCCATATTCCACGAGTCCCGACGAGACACAAGCACACGGACGGACACAGTATATCAAAGAAACGTCCAATTATTAGTAGAGGGAGCGAGCGAGGAGGGCAGCCGATCCGAGGACTCCAATGAAGAGTAATTACGCTGCGATAACATCAAATTAAAATGGCCGTTGATGAGTTAATCCAACACAAACCACGACGAGAACCACACATGCAAAAAGAGCCACATGCACGAGACGCTGGGGGTTTAAGGCGCTGATTCAAACATGCAAAAATGAATCCAAAAAATTTACAATTTGGAAAAAATACAGCTGTAATTCTCTATACTACACCCACTACGAAATAACCAGTACTGTTTTTACTTTATAATCTACAAAATGGTGCTGAAATAAGATCTAAATGACAAAAACAGACTTGCTTATGATTCACAAAGATTACTACAATGTCACCATATCCCTGTCGCTATAATTACTATGTCAACTTATTGTTCAGTTTAAGGAATTGTGCTGGAATTTCAGACATTTTTGGGGTTTTGGTGCTTATTTTTTTTGGATATATGATGAGATTTAAGCCGTAAAAAGCTGAATTAACAACTCTTGACTCATGACAGATGCAGACGAAGCACTAAAACGTTCAATTCTGGGGTGTATTTATCATAGGGTGACCATATTTCTCGACATTTAGCTGCTCTCACCTCGCAACCTGTGCACATGACCTTCCACTTGTCTGGACCGGGATGGAAAACGGAGAATTTCTTGTACAAGTCATCGTTCAATGCACATTTGCGCTTCGACACGTTGCAGACTGAGCGACTGTTTGGGTCTGCGCGCTCCTTCTGAGTTACAGAGAGCTATTTAATCGCCTAATGCAAGATCATGAAAACACGGACACTTGCTTCACTTCACACCCAGGGCAGTACGCAAAAAAACTGACATGTCCGGGAAAAAAACGGACATTTGGTCACCCTAATTTATAATGATTTTTGAACAGTTTTGTACATTTAGAATCGTTTTTGTGGGTTAAATCTGCTCTTGGGTTATTGTGCCAGTGGCTTAAATTAGTTTCAGTATTATTCTTTATCTTTATCTTATTATTTTTATTTACTTCAACAATATAATGCAGTTCAAAATTTGTTATGCTGACAGGCCTGTTGTTATAACTACTTCTAGTGAATGCTACTGTCAGGGTTCCCACGGTCATGGAAGTCCTGAAAGTTTTGGAAAAGTCATGGAATTTTAGTATCTCTTTCACGCAACTACAGCATTTCTGTTAAGTTCTCATTATGATTATTTCAGAACATCTGCACCTTTTGTGTAAAATAGACGACAATAAATGCACTGACAGGATTTTGAATGTTTAAATACTATCAAACCAAACCATAAGGTGAGTGGAAAGAATTCACATTTCATATTTAGCCCTAAAAGTCTGATCAATTCTACATGTAAAGTCATGAAAAAGTCATGGAAAAGTCTTGAAATGTTAGTGAAAGCGTGGGAACCCTGTACTATGATATTTACAAGTGCAATTACTAATACAACTAAAGGTACATAAGAAATTCCTGTTTTGTTACTGAAGTCTGCAACTGTGACTCAAAAACCCCCAAACACTATTATTTTAGATAAAGTACCGGCACTGTTATCATAGTTACTACACTAGTACTGCTTCTGCCATCTTTATAAATTACTACACAGACTTGGAGCTACAAATCACACCGAGCTCTGTTATATTTATGGCTTCTGCGCAACATTACAACTGCTATTGTTGCTACAACTCAAGTACAATACAATTTTTACAAGTTTTTAGACTACTACAGCCACTACTGCTACTACTACAAACAGACTACTACTACGAAAAAAACACAACTGTGAAATACTACCACTGATATCCTCTGCTGTACTAATACTGCTACTACTATTATAACTGCTCTTTTTACTACAACTAAAACACTATGATATGGTTTGAGTTACTATTACTACTACTACTGTTGCCTTAGCTCTTAAAGTATTTAGGTATGGGACCCCTTATGGCAGGAGGACTACATTACTCAATAAATACTCACTACTAGGATTTGCCATGTACTTTTCACTAAACTATTTCAAAGCAACTATATATAAAAAAAAAAGTATTCACATTTTTACAAATGGACCAGACACACTTTGTTAATCTGATGAAAGCACTATTACTACTAAAGCTGCTAATACTACTCAAAGTACTTTAATAATGCCTACAGTTTTATATTCACTACTACAACCACCACAACTGCTATTAATACTAAAAGAGACCACGTACAGTTCCATGTACTGTCACTGAAATACTGCAAGACAGCTAAATACATGTAAATATTAAATTTGACAACGCAAAGATTACTGTTACTAGGACGCAAATACTACTACTACTACTACTTCCTGCATTAATGTCACTAAAGGTACTATCACTGAAATACTGCAGGACTGCTATAAAATAAAATAAAATGTAACTAACTAATTTCAATTAAAAGATTATACTACTACTACTACTACTACTACTACTGCAACTTACTGTATTAGTACTACAACAGATACTCAACTGCTATACTACCACTAAAAGGTACAACAAACAATAATTCTATGTACCATCACTGAAATACTGCAAGACTGCTAAACAATACATGTAAATATTACATTTGATTTGCAAAGATTACGCAAATACTACTACCACTACTACTTACTGTATTAATACTATCACTAAAGGTACTATCACTGAAATACTGCAAGACTGCTTTAAAATAAAATGTAAATAATGTGATTTTACTTTGATTTGAATTAAAAGATTACTGCTACTGCTACTTGCTGTATTAATACTACCACTATACAGTACATTTCCATGTACTATCACTGAAATACTGCAAGATGGCCATGTAAAAATTTAACTTTAAAATGTAAATTATAATAAAATTGTGATTTGTACAAAAAAAATACTACTACTACTACTATTACTACTACTACTTCTACGACTACTACTACTTTTATTACTACTACTGCTGCTGCTACTATTACTACTACTATTACTACTACTGCTACTACTACTGCTACTACTGCTGCTACTACTACTACTGCTACTACTACTGCTGCTGCTACTATTACTACTACTATTACTACTGCTGCTACTACTACTACTTTTATTGCTGCTACTACTACTACTACTACTACTACTACTACTACTACTACTACTACTACTACTACTACTACTACTACTACTACTACTGCTGCTGCTGCTACTACTACTACTACTACTACTACTACTACTACTACTACTACTACTACTACTACTGCTACTACTGCTGCTACTACTACTACTTTTATTGCTGCTACTACTGCTGCTGCTACTACTACTACTACTACTACTACTACTGCTGCTGCTACTACTGCTACTACTACTACTACTACTTTTATTGCTGCTACTACTACTACTACTACTGCTGCTGCTACTACTACTACTACTACTACTACCACTACTACTACTACTTCTATTACTACTACTACAAATACTACTACTGCTGCTACCGCTACCACCACTACTACTACTACTACTACTACTACTACTACTACTACTACTCCAACTACTACTACAAATACTACTACTACTACTACAACTACTACTCCTACTACCACTACTGCTACTACTCCAGTACTCCTCCTCCTCCTCCTCCTCCTCCTACTAAAACTACAACCAATACTACCACTAAAGTTATAATAAACAATTCCAAATTCTGTGTTGATATACAAATTTAACTTAAAAATGTAATTAAATAAAAATATAACGACTAAACGTGTGATTTTCAGGCCTTGGTGACAAAAACACAGATGGAGCATGAACACACCACGAGCCACAGACACATGCCACGAGACGTTCATGCGCCGCGGGAGAAAAGAGCTCTTACTTCCGGTCGGGATCAAGTCTCTGTCTGGTATGAAGAGTTTATACCCATAGTGTTTCTCCAGGACCTCGGGCAGGATCTCCAGGGCGAAGCGTTCCTCCTCTCTCGTCTCCTGACTCCACTGGTCCGGGTCCACCTTCGTGTAGGACAGGTACGCGTCGTAGTCTTTATTTTCTGAAAAACACAAGGAGAAATACACGGTTAATGTCAAAATATCTAATCTTACAGTGTTTTTTTGCTCTGTATGTGTATTACTCTATATTCTTTGTAGGCGTTGACCTTGAATGTCGTTTTGTTTCTATTTGAGACTCCTTTATCATGTGAATAAATATGGTGAAAAATATTGAGCTTTAAATTGCTCTTTGACCCTTTTTTGTCAGTTCCTGTTCTCTGCTTTTGTATCATGAGCCAAAAATAAAGAGTCGTGCAAAAGCAAAAGGCAGAAACTGTGTCTGTTTTGTTTGTGATTTAGTTCATAAATATATTTTATTTTCAAAGCCTACAAACAGGCTACTACTGTGAAATACTACCACTGATATCCTCTATACTGTACTAATACTGCTACTACTATTATAACTGTTCTTTTTACTACAACTAAAACACTATGATATGGTTAGAGTTACTATTACTACTACTACTGTTGCCTTAGCTCTTAAAGTATTTAGGTATGAGACCCCTTGTGGCAGGAGGACTGCATTACAAAATAACAAGTCACTGCTAGGATTTTTTGCCATGTACTTTTCACTAAATTATTTCAAAGCAACTATATAAAAACAAGTATTCAAATTTTTATAAATGAAACACAGACACACTTTGTTAAGTTGATTAATGCACAGTTATTACAAAAGCTGTTACATCTTTACAACTGCTAATACTACTAGAAGTACTAGAATAATGCCTACAGTTTTATATTATTTACATTATATTTTATATTTATATTACTACTACCGCTGTTACGACAACAACCACAACTGCTGAAATCACACTTTTACAGATCGCACTGTGTACTTTTACTACTACAAATATTAGAAAAATAAGACTGCCACTATTACAATTACAACAGCTTTTTTATGACAGTGTGTCACTGAACAATCTGACTCTGAGCAAATATTTATCAAGTGTAAGGGTTTGTCCACACAGTGAAGTTTTTATTCATATTGTTCTTTCGTCCACACTGAGCCGGCGTTTTGGGTGTTTGAAAACGGTGTTTTTTGAGCACGGGTTCCAGAGTGGAGAAATCTGAGAACGCCGGCGTTGCGTCGTATGGACGAGCAAACCGCAGCTTTTGGAAAACGACCCCGTCATCGCCAGAGTCCGATGCAGCGAAGGCCGCAGCCCTCGAACAAGCCTCAAGAGCGTTGACCACAAGAGCACTGCTGAAATGTGACAGGTGAAGCCTACGGAGCTGCTCCTGTCGTCCAGCGACTGCAACACCCTGCTAACTCCAATACTAACAACACGCACCACGCAGATTATGCACACGGATCAATAATAATGATTTCTGTTGTATTTTGAGACCAAGTTATTCTAATAATTCTCTCCCAAATATTATGGCTAAAAACGAAAACTTTTGTTAAACTTTTGCAAAACAAAACGGCTATATTTCTGGGATACATTTAAAATCAGCTAAATTACCTTAAAGTAAAAAAAAAAAAAAAAAACGTGATGGGATTTGCATTATTAAATATTATCATTAACAGCGCCACATACAGGTGTGGCATAGGTATTACATTTTTTTCATGTTTTCACTCAGTGCTCTGTTGTCGTGTGGACTTGAATATTTATTGATCCGACACGTGTGTGGACGCAATTTTTTTTAAACCCAAAAAAAAAAAAAAATTTAAATCCAGGAGCGTTGTTCTGTGGACGTAGAGTAAATTAAAGCCACAAGTTCAAACAAGAGAAGTGTTAAAAGTGACAACAGATACAGAGCTGCTGGTGCTTGTGACGAAAACCTAATCTGCTAAAAACACAATACTACAAAAAATACTACTACTAAAAAAATACTACTACTCTTTATCTGGGCATAGGGACAGGCTTCAGACCCTCTTCAAAACAATATTATACCAAAATACAGGAAAATAAACACACCAATGGGCACAGCTGGGACGTTTCTTGTATAAAACTGGGACAAATCAGTGGTTTTGTATAAATCTGCTGGGACTGGGGACACTGGGCTCGAGACTGGGACTGTCCCGAGTAAACGGGAACGTCCGGTCACTCTAAACGTAACCCTCCTTTAACTTGAAGCACCTTGACGCCGCGCTGAGTCACAACAGTCAGCGCTCGGATGCTAATGTATGCTCGCCCTCTCCCCGCGTCAGGTGTAATGTATGCAGCCTGGAGGAACAGCTGAACTACTGAACTCACCTCGGAATAAACCACAGAGGAAAGCACGGGCCCGGACTGCAAACGAGACGCAAAAACCACGTATATTTCAACGTTTTCCTTTGCCTTTTGTTCATTCAGTGTAGAAGAATAATACTTCAGCGTCACGAGGAGCGGGTAAAAAGGCTGTAATTTCATTTAGTGTAGAATTCTGTTTGGGAGTTTATGCACCGCTGTCACCCCACTGTGAATATTTAGAGGCTTTTGTTCGCAATAATTATAGTTAAAACGAGTAAGAGGAAGAACTGAAGTAATTTAAAAAGCAAAAAGGACAAAACGAGGAATTATAAGAGTTTCTATAATAATGTGATTGGGGCATTTTCAGAATTAGTATTGTAATGTCTCCTGCTACGTTCATCTTTAATAAATCTGCTCTATTGTGTTTCTATTGAGTTTTTAATCATTCGCGGCTTTTATCCAAAGTCAAACCTTTTTTATATCTTTTAATCTTTCTCAACAGGTCATGCACGCTTTTGTCTGAACTTTACGGTCTTCATTTTGTTCAGAAATTCGAGGCACGGATTTTAATAGGAACCAAAAAAACGAGAACATATTACACCGATCCTCGTGTCTTTGCTCCTGTTCAATTTAGAGTTGATTTTAGAGATTTTATTGTTTGTTTTTAAAGCTTTGAATGAACTGGACAAACAGAAGCATCCATCAGAATATGAAATGAAAAGTTACGATTTCAAGAAATACAATCACGAAATGAAATGAAACGGTTACGCTTTCTTCAGTATGAATATGAATTTACAGACGCAACTCGACTGTCAAAAATACGTCCTCACTTCACAAGCTTTATTTATGAGCAGAAGAAACAGCGATCGAGATGCCGGACATTTGCGCCGCACAATCGGGACTAACCTAGGACTGATGCCATGATTGAATCCTGCAGGACTAAACCAGGACTAAACTAGAACTGAACCAGGACTGACTGTTGGGATGGACCCGGATCTGAGTTCCGCGTCCCACGGAGCCCGATGGCACTTTGTGGACGGTTTAGACCTGGTTTAGACCTGGTTTAGACCTGGTTTAGACCTGGTTTATCTGGTTTAGACTGGTTTAGACTGGTTTAGACTGGTTTAGACCTGGTTTAGACTGGTTTAGACCTGGTTTAGACCTGGTTTAGACCTGGTTTAGACCTGGTTTACTGGAGTCCTGGTTTAGTCCTGTTTGATCTGGTTTAAACCTGGTTTAGACCTGGTTTAGACCTGGTTTAGACTGGACTGGTTTAGACCTGGTTTCTGGTTTAGACTGGTTTACTGGTTTAGACCTGGTTTAGACCTGGTTTTGGACTGGATCTGGTTTAGACCTGGACTGGTTTAGACCTGGTTTTGGTTTAAATCTGGTTTGGTTTACTGGTTTCTGGTTTAGGATCTGGTTTAGACTGGGGATCTGGTTTAGACCTGGTTTAGACCTGGTTTAGACCTGGTTTACTGGATCTGGTTTAGACCTGGTTTAGACCTGGTTTAGATCTGGTTTATGGTTTAAATCTGGGACTGGTTTAGACCTGGTTTAGACGACTGGTTTAGACTGGTTTATTTGGACTGGTTTAGACCTGGTTTAGACCTGGTTTAGACCTGGTTTAGACCTGGTTTAGACTGGACTGGTTTAGACCTGGTTTAGATCTGGTTTAAATCTGGTTTAGACCTGGTTTGACTGGTTTAGATCTGGTTTAGACCTGGTTTAGACCTGGTTTAGACCTGGTTTAGACCTGGTTTACCTGGTTTACCTGGTTTAGACCTGGTTTCTGGTTTAGACTGGTTTAGTTTAGACTGGTTTAGACTGGTTTTCTGGTTTAGACCTGGTTTCTGGTTTTGGATCTGGTTTAGATCTGGTTTAGACCTGGTTTTGACCTGTTTAGACCTGGTTTAGACCTGGTTTAGACCTGGTTTGTTTAGGTTTAACCTGGTTTAGACCTGGTTTAGATCTGGTTTAGACCTGGTTTACCTGGTTTAGTCCTGGTTTAGACCTGGTTTAGACCTGGTTTAGATCTGGTTTAGACCTGGTTTAGACCTGGTTTAGACCTGGTTTAGACCTGGTTTGAGATCTGGTTTAAATCTGGTTTAGACCTGGTTTAGACCTGGTTTAGACCTGGTTTAGATCTGGTTTAGACCTGGTTTAGACCTGGTTTAGACCTGGTTTAGATCTGGTTTAGATCTGGTTTAGACCTGGTTTAGACCTGGTTTAGACCTGGTTTAGTCCTGGTTTAGACCTGGTTTAGTCCTGGTTTACCTGGTTTAGACCTGGTTTAGACCTGGTTTAGATCCTGGTTTAGACCTGGTTTAGACCTGGTTTAGACCTGGTTTAGATCTGGTTTAAATCTGGTTTACCTGGTTTAGACCTGGTTTAGACCTGGTTTAGACCTGGTTTAGATCTGGTTTATCTGGTTTAGACCTGGTTTAGACCTGGTTTAGATCTGGTTTAGATCTGGTTTAGACCTGTTTAGACCTGGTTTAGACCTGGTTTAGACCTGGTTTAGACCTGGTTTAGTCCTGGTTTAGTCCTGGTTTAGTCCTGGTTTAGTCCTGGTTTAGTCCTGACCCGCCCATAAAACTCCAGAAGGTTAAAACTGGCCCATTTCAGCAACTATTTGCGGCGGACGCCCGTCCAGGTGCAGGACTCTGCCGTTTGCTCTCTGAGGTCCGGAGGCTCGGCTCCAGCTCCAGGTGCCTAAGACGAGACTTAAAAACCAGGGCCCCAAACTCTGGAACGACTCTTGTTTTAATTTGTCTGTGCAACACTTTGGGAAACTGTCATGTTTATAAAATGTGCTATAGAAATAA